ACCTTGGCTACTGATGGAAACTGAAACTGATCCACTTTTCTTGGTAACGTGTCACTTCAGTAACTTCCAGTCTTCTTTAAATTTTGGATTGAAGAAAACATACAGGACCAGATTTAGGCAAGCAGGCAATGGGAAAAATATCAGAGTAACAGACTTCATTATTTCAGGACTGATAGAGATTGCAGTGGTCAATGGTGCAAATGATAAAAATGCAACAGGGCAAAAAAAGATGCAGTTGGTGAAAATTAGCCAAGCAACATGTTTAATCATGCTAGACTGTGAGTTTTCTGAGAGGTCTTCTTTTTCCAAGTTGCAGTAAAGTTTAGTGTAGATGACGGCCATTAATAAAAATGCTAGTGAGTTTAAAAACACTAACATCACAGTAAATCCTAATGATGGCATCTCTCCTGTGGGAAATGGCAAGCACAAGGGTGATGCAGAATATTCCCCTCTATGGAAAAGGGGGAAACAGCCTGATACTGCAGCACCCAGAAAAGCAAAAAGGGCCGCAATCCGGAACTGCTTGAGATGATTGCTTTTCCCATTTTTCATGATATTTTTTGCAGATAAGCTTCTTTTAACAGCTGCTAACATTAATAAAAATATGGCACTTTCTAAGGAAAAAACTGTAAGGAAACCAGCTGCTTTGCAGCCACTGCCAGTCTCCCACCAAATGCCAAATTCAGCAAATCTCTCCCAGGATTCGGCATCAAGAAAAGTTAAGATGCCAGTATAGATTCCCATGAAGAAGTTAGACACAGAAATCAAGCCTATGAACAACTTGGAGGAAGGTAGTGATGTACAAGATGTGAAGGTTGTTAAAATGACTAGCAGGTTGAAAAACAATGCAACTAAGAAAATGAACCACATGGTGGGACGTATCATCCAGCTTCCCAGTAAATATTCACAGGGCTTAAAAGCACCTAACATGAAAAAGAAACAGAAACATGAAAGACAATTTAGAAAATACCATATTTCATTTAATATTCTTGATAGAATGACTAATGATGGTTGAATCTAGAATAAATAAGCTACCTAATTGAATTGAACCAAACTGAAAAAAAATATTGCTTTTAAGATATTTCAGTCACAGACTCGGCTACTTTAAAAATTAAGCAGCCTAATATCTTGGGGTAGCTGGCACACACCTATAATCCCAGGGACTGAAGAGGTTTAAGCAGGAGGAGATGGCAAGTTCAAGGCCAGCCTCATCAAATAAGCAAGATCCTGTTTCAAACTAAAAACATAAAAAGGGCTCGAGGGAGGGTACTTAGTAGTAAAGCTCCCCAGGGTTCAATCACCAGTACTGAAACAAAACATAACCAGGATTAGTTTCTTTTATTATTTGGTAAGGCCATATAGAGATATTTCCAAGAAAATTTCTACTTTTTCTTTTTCTTTATTCTTTTATTAAATATTTTTTTTTAGTTGTAGATGGACACAATATCTTTATTTTTTATGCGGTGCTGAGAATTGAACCCAGTGCCTCACACATGCCAGGCAAGCACTCAGCCACTGAGCTATAACCCCAGCCCTCTACTTTTTCTTATACTAAATATACAAAGCACAGTATCTAGCAAATAAAGGTACTTAAAATATTGAGGGTCTGGAATCAGATGTTTCATAACTTGCTACTCTTACCTTAAAAAAGCCACTTAAGCCTAATAAGTTGCATTTTCTGATATGTAGATAATAATGCCTACTTAATACAGTTGACTGCTTAAGTAAATTTGCATACATAAATACTTAAGCAAGCTGCTGGGCACACAGTGGAACTTTAGTAAATATTAGCCTTTTTTTTCTTCCTTCCTTATCCCTATGTATTTCATTTTTTAAAAAATATTCGTATTAGTTGTTGATGAACATTTATTTGTTTGTTTGTTTGTTTATACGTGGTGCTGAGAATCGAACCCAGTGCCTCAAACATGGCAAAAGCTTTACCATTTACCACTGAGCCATAACCCCAGCTCTCTATATATTTTATAACTGTATATGTATGTATATACACAGATTTGTAACATTTTAAACCCAGTTTCTTATGGCATTTAACAGCAACCTGCTGAAGTTGGTTATGGTAGATAATCAATGTTAAATATTCATACAAAGATTGGCACAAAACAAAACCCCTATATAATAGTAAAACACACACACACACACACACACACACACACACATATATATATATATGATCGCAAGAATGCACTTAGTAGCTGAATTGCTGGTTCTAATAACTGACTTTGACATGCTAGTAATGTCACAAATGAAAAATATTTCATTTATAATTAAGGAGTGAAAATGTTTGACTATAAAGAACAAGAAAACTATGTATTATGATTGCCTAAAAGATGTTTTAACTTTCTGAACTGTCATGAAATTTGACATATACTATAGAACTACAGTTCTGCACCATTTATCTGATTTTCAATGAACACAAAATTTTTAGTCAAATTTCTTTTCACTCTGAACCGTCAGGAAGTGCTAGAATGGAAGTTCTTTCTCACATTTTATTTGTGGGGAGGGTAGTATAGGGAATAAACCCAGGGGTATTCTACCACTAAAGTATATACCCAGCCTTTTTCACTTTTTATTTGGAGACAGGATCTCTCTAAATTGGCGAGGGTCTCATTAAGTTGCTGACACTGGCCCTGCACTTGCAGTCCTCCTGCCTCAGCCTCCAGAATGAACCCAATTATAGGTGTGTCCAGTACTGCAAAGAATGCTGTTTCCTGCCAGGCGATGTGGCACACACCTATAATCCCAGAAGCTCTGGAGGCTGAGGCAGGAGGATCATGGATTTAAAGCCAGCCTCAGCAACTTAGCAAGGCCTTAAGCAACTCAGTGGGACCCTGCCTCTATAAATAATATATAAAAAGGGCTGAGACTGTGGCTCAATGGTTAAGCACCCCTGGGTTCAATCCCCGGTACCACCATCCCCTCCAAAAAGTATGTTGTTTCCTTCTCACTGATCATCAGTTCTGTGTACAATCTCCAACACTTGAATCATTCATGGGCAAAAGAGTAAACTGCATTCCTAACTGTCGAAAATTAATATCTGCACAATAAATTAAATTACATAAATGATTCATGCTAGTTGCACTTACTCATCTGTTAAAATTAAGTTTGTTCTCCTTCTCCACACAAGGAAATGGGTTAAATATTCAAAGCATACATACATAGACCCCTTAAGAAGCTCACAATTCAGCATCAGTTATTAGTGAATTCACAGCACTGATGATTCTAAGTTATAAAATCAATGGCCAACCCAGGCATGGCACACACCTGCAATCCGAGTGGCTCAGGAAGCTGAGACCAGAGGATTGTGAGTTCAAAGCCAGCCTCAGCAACACTGAGTTGCTAAGCAACTCAGTGAGACCCTGTCTCTAAATAAAATATTAAATAGGGCTGGGGATGTGGCTCAGTGGCCGAGTGCCCCTGAGTTGAATCCCTGTTATCCCGTCACCATCCCTACCCCCAAAATTAATGGCCAGTTCATCCTGTGACATCATACTAATAGGAATCTATTTGGTAGCACCTGATTTAACAAAAAATATTTAAAACCTTGCCTTTATAATAAAAGTATAAATCCAAGTTCTCTAGTAGGCAAGGCAGAATATGACATTACAATCAAGTAAATATTGGCATCATTTAATAACTTTCCTAAAACTACAACTTCAATGAATTAAATAAGAAAGAATAGACAAGATTGCATTTAAACAAAATTATAAGTGCATGCTTATAATCCCAGTGGCACAGGATGCTAAGGCAGGAGGATCACAAGTTCAAAACTAGCTTCAGCAACTTAGTGAGGCCCAAAGCAACTTAATGAGACCCTGCCTCAAAATGCAAAAGTAAAACAGGTTGGTGATGTGGCTCAGTTGTTAAGCAAACCTGGATTCAATCAATACCCCAAAATAAAATGAAATAAAATAATAATAATAATAAGAAGAAGAAGAAGAAGAAGAAGACTGGGGACAAAGCTCAGTAATAAAGCACAAGCTTTGCATTCTGGAGGCCCTGGGTTCAATCCCTGGCACTACAATAAATAAAGAATAATATAAAAACAAAAACAAAAAAAATTATGGACCAGTGACTTACTTCAGAACTAGTTCTAGACCTAAAGGACCATCAAGAAATTCCCTCTCCAACTTTATGTACATGACCCTGCCCTGCAAGAGCTTGTTAATATGCAGATTCTGATTCAGTGGTATGAGCCTGAGATTCTGCAAGAGAAGCTGGTACACTGACCACACTATGAATCAGAAGGCCTTAAAGGATCATCTAGTCCCACCCTTATAAAATAGAAATAACATCCATCGCCAGGAAGATTAGATATATTTGCCCAATGTTTACTTAAAGTAAAATATTACAGCCAAATGGGTTGAGCATTACCTGTTGGGGGTGTACAATGGATAATTATTTGACTATGCTCTTCATTTTCAGCAGTGCTGGTGACATTTGCTGCATCAGTGGTACCTGAATATACAACAAAGTATGTTGAATTAAAAGTGGGCAGTTCAAAAGAACCAAATGTTCCCACAATTTTCTCTCCCCTGCATGATGTTAAAGTTCAGTGTATACAAATGTGGCTTGATAACACATTAAATATGCCAGTAACACAGGAAAGACCATTTTTCTCACAGACTTCATATTGATCCTTCCCAAACTGATTACAACACATACATTTTGATTAATGGCTTAGGGAGTGTTCTGTTTTTAAAGGTTCATGTACTTGCCTTTCTCCTTTGTCACACTATGGTATCTTGAAGGCTGTTATCTTTTATGTTTAAATTTGCATAAGAGTCACAGCCCCAAAATTCACAGCACTGATAAGCATATGGTACTGATAAAGACCTGGGGGAAAATTGTAAAATACACTCTGAGTAGCAACTTCATAGACATAATTTTGTTTTGGAAAAAGCATTTTAATCTTTGAAAACCCCAATCTATGGGTCAGAAAAGTCTAAGTATCATATAATTTAGTCTTGACAATTTATCCTCTAGGAACCTTATCTATGTTAAACACTCTGGTAAAGCTCATAAAAATGATCATAAAGATACACCACAAAGTTTCTCCCTTTCAATGAGGTGTCTCTTAAGAAAGGTGGATGCAAATCAAGTATATATAAAGTTTCATAATAATACTGCAATTTAAAGTAAAACTGTTGCCAGGTGCAATGGCACAGGCCTATAATCCAAACTGTCATATCTAAAACAGATTTTTGGTCAATGATTTCTCCAGCCATAACAATGATTCTGTGGAGTGCCTGACATCCTCTTGTGCAATCCCCTTTCTACTTAAAGCAGGTAGTATTTCTACCCCAAAACACTGGCCTCTCATAAGCCAAAGCCCATTAGAGCACAGGATATTTTGGGGAAACTTGCTAGAGACACTGTTACAAGAAATTTATCTGCTTTAAGAGAGAGCCCCAGGCAGATGAGGTGGCACATGCCTGTATTCCCAGCTACTTGGAAGGCTAGGCTAGGAGGATGGCAAGTTTAAAGTTAGCCTATACAACTTAGTGAGGCCATATCTCAATATAAATCCTTTTCAAAAGGGCTGGAGAAGTAGCTTAGTGGTAGAGTGCACATGCAAGATCCTTGTTCAATCCCCATACTGTATATATATATATATATATATATATATATATATATATATATAGAGAGAGAGAGAGAGAGAGAGAGAGAGAGAGAGAGAGAGAGAGAGAGAATCTGTAGGAAGCCTGTACATCCCCTTTCCTTAGCTAATTCATGTGGTTAAACCAACTCCAGTTGGCTTCTCTTATTCTTCAGCCCAAACATTCAAACTGGGTCAAGCAGGGAGGCAGCAATTTATGGGGGATAAACATGCATCCTCCCTGCCATCTGGAGCCACCCCAATTCCTGTGAAACCTCCTAAAGTAGCCCTCTCCCCATCAGTCCTACTCAGGTAAGTGCTGTCTGGTTCTAAGCACTCAATTTGAGAAAGAACCTCCTTCATTGGCCTCTCACATCCTTTGATTATCTCTTTGATGGGTATAAATGGTCTTTAACTTGTCCAGCTCACACATCTGGTAAGTGGCAGAGCTGAAGGTTTGGACATTCAAGCTTTTAACCACCAAGTTTAATGCCATATACCATCTAGCCTCATTAAACTAAAAAAAAAAAAAAAATAGGGCCCTGAGCCAACCCCCCCCCCCGCAAAAAATTGAAATCCCACTCCATATTTTATACTTGGCCTTGAACACACCTTGTAAGTATTGCTGAGAAATAAAGTTGATGGTGCCAATTTTGTAGAGTCTGGTTGTCATTTGCACTGCTCACCAGTGACTTCTGGCTCTTCACCTTCTGGGAACCTGCAGGATTGCACTTCCAGGTCACGTGACTAGTCCTGACCAAAGAGTGTGCATGGAAGGAGTTTGTGCCATTCCTGGGTGGAGCATTTAATGCTAGTGAGAGATGAGCCTGAGATGTGTCTCTCTGATAGGACAAACAATAATGCCCGTTAAGATGTCTTCTCCATTGAGCAGAGCCCTCAACCAAACTATCATGGTTGCATAATGTGAGCAAAACACAGATCTTTTTGATTTTAAGCCATTGAAATTTGGGGGTTAATATCTATCATAGCCTGCTGTAGTCTATCCTGACTGATTTAGCTAGCCTCCTATATCCATATTTCAACCAGTTGAGGATCAAAAACTTTCTTTAAAAAAATTGCTTTGAGGGCTGGGGCTATAGCTCAGTGGCAGAGTGCTTGCCTAGCATGTGTGAGGCACAGGGTTTGATCCTTACACTGCATAAAAATAAAAAATAAAATAAAGGCATGCTGTTCATCAACAACTACAAAAATGAAAGTAAAAATATTTTTTTTAAAAAATTGCATTTATGTGATATGGTGTGGCTCAGTGGTAGAGCACTTGCCTAGCATATGTGAAGCACTGGGTTTGATCCTCAGTCTCACATTTAAAAAAATAGATAAAACAAACAAATAAAATAAAGGTATTGTGTCCATATGCAACTAAAAATATTTTTAAAAACTGCATTTTTACTGAACATGTATAGACATATCTTCTTGTCATTATTTCCTAAGCAATACATTATAACAAGTATTTTCATAGAATTTACATTGTACTATTTTTATAAGTAATTTAGAGGTAATTCAAAATGTACCAAAAATAACTATAGGTTATAAAATATTATGCCACTTTGTATAAAGTGTTGAACATCCATGGATTTGGGAGTCCAGGAGAGGTTCTGAAACCAGACTCTCAAGGATACTGAGGGACAACTGTACATACAGTATGATTGTTTACTCATTGATTCAAACATTTTTCTGCTCAAGAGTGAAAGCTCAAGCCAAAGTCCTGAAGGTCCTAGTTTAATACATCTGGGATGCAGAACAGACCTGTGCAGCTTTCTGGTACACCAAGTGATTCTAATGGTCTAGTAAGGCTGAGATTCCTGCATGGCTACATCTTGTGATGATAGGTTAAAATATGGTGTCTACACCTGAGGGCTACCTAGACTGAGAGGACAAGCCCAGAGCCAGAAAAATCACACTACTAACAGGGTAAATGACCTGAAATATTCAAAAGTAAGTAAGAATATATAAGCAATTGATGAACAATAAAGCTTTACATGTAATAGAAAGTAGATATGCTTCTTGGAAAATCCATTCATCCCATGTAATAGAAATTAGAAATGCTTCTTGGCAAATCCATTCATCACATGTAGTAGAAAGTACAAATGCTTCTTGACAAATCCATTCATCAACTCTGTGACTCCAGACCAGGTACCCAAGCTGTCAGTTTAACATGTAGTCTATTATCTGTCACTATGCTTCCAGTTATGTAAAACAAAGCTTAGAAAACCTCTAAAGATGTGGCCCAGGGTCAAAATAGTTTGTACATGGCTGAATTGGACTCCAGATCTAGGCTTTTTATCTATCTAGGGCCCAAGGCCTTGACTGATTCATTTAAGGCCCCTGCTTCTCTTCCAGTTTTCTCCCTTTATCTTGAACCATGTATTCTGGCTGCATTAAACTGCCTGTCACTGAAGGCCCGCACCATGCTACTTACTGCACACTACAGTGCTTTGGCTCCTTCTGTTGTGTCTGTCTGGCATGCCTTACTTCAATTCTCACCACCTTGTTTCTGAACCCCATCCAGGTCATTGAATATGTGGTTGGGTGACCCAATCCCTTCTGCTATGACGGCCCCCATCAGCACATTCCTTTACTGGCTCATTGAGCACCTCTATCATTAGATTGCAGTTGGGTCTCAGTTTCTTTTCTCTGAGTCATGTAACTAACATTGGGGACACTGTGTTAAAGCATCATCCATGGCCCCATGCATGCTTATTACCTCTGCTAAATCAAATCCCTGCAACCCACAAGACAGATCCTTCCAACAAGACCACACAGTGAATATTTATGAAAGGCCTTTGTTTTCTTGTAGTTTTGTGACCACTGTACAATTCTCCACCTTTGTGAATCTCAGCTGTCAGATGTAAAATGGACTAATGGGAGTACCTGCCTCACAGTTGTGAGAATTTATTAAGATGAAAACTTAAGTGCCTTGCCTGTTCATAAGGAAGACATGAACTAAACCCCAACCACCTTGGTTGTTATGAGTATCTTCTTATTAAACCACTGCTATTATCCCTACTCAGCATGCCCCCAAAGACATCATCATTAATATTATCACTCATACATCTCACTAAGTCTAAGTGACTGTGCTAAACATTCTTTCCTAGAATGTATAGTATTCTCAGAATCCACAAAATGAGTTCTTCACATTCTTGTGAGGGTTCAGCATCCCAATCATGAATTATCTCCCTGGTACCTCCAGGAAGCTGCCCAGTGCATTCTCTGGAAGTCTTTGGCTGGTAAACAGTTCCATTCAGGCTCTTTGGATATGGCTAAGAAAACAAAGGTTCTCCTTAGGCTCCCACTTTAACTGATATTCTCCCCACTATGGGTGTTTCCAATTCATTTATAGTCAGCCCAGGCCACTGTGTAGATGACCCCCCACCTCTCCCTGCAAGAGGGTCAGGGTAGCAGTCAAACAGTCCTGTGGACTTCTGGAATCATTGATAACTCTAAAAGGAATAATACCTGCACCAAGCTTATTTTCTTTCTTACTAGAAGGAACTCAAAGAATGGGGATTTCAGTTGCGAATAATAATAATCCATAGGCCCTCAGAGTGATCTAATCTTGTTTCCCTTCCTTCCTCATTTTTCACATATCTGAAGCACAGTAGGCAAAATTTGGGTTTTGGTGAGGCATTCCAGTTGAGGTTGCCTGTTGAACAAGTCTGGGCTGTTTTAAAAGGACGGGAAGACAGTTAATTTTCCCACACCCCAAATGTCATCAGAACAGGCAACCTATGAGGGAAACCAAAGCTCAAGCCACAAAATAAAGAAAAATGTAAATTTGGCTTTTCTGATTAAAAAGATTCTGAAGTTGATTGAGCGGTGTTTTCTGAGACCCCACACTGAGATGAACACTCAGGGAGTCTGTGGAAAAGGAAATAGACCCCCATTTGTAGGAAGAAAAGGAAGCAGCAGTTATGTTGGGATTGTTGGAATGAGAAGAGACCAGAAATCAATGAAGAGATAAAGAGTAGCCCAAGAGGCAGGTTGCCTCTAGGGAGGCCAGTGGCCAAAGTGAGAGGACCTCAGAGTGGAAATTTTCCCCAGAGGACTGGAGCAAGAAATAACTTTTTTTTTCAGAACCATGTTGACAAACAACTGCTTAAATAAAATTTCAATCCCATGTCATCTGTCTCATTTGGCTGGAACAATAAGCTTACATTCCACAGCCTGGGCTGACCCTTCTGCACTCCACTGCCAATAAAGCATAAAGAGTGTGATTAGTTCTTTTTGCATGAAGAAGGACCATTAAATAAGTTGACTTCTATTTTATGTAGCTTCTTACAACAATATCTAGCAACCTATCTTGTGTTCTTGTGTCAGGCACAATTGAGGAACATTTTTCACAATTTAGCAATATGTAAGCAACAGCCTTTTAATTAAAAAAAAAGAAAAGGAAAAATGAATTCCACAGTCACAAGTAAGGAAAGAGGACATTTGGTGGGTGCAGTAGTGCAGACCTGTGATTCCAACTACTCAGGAAGCTGAGGCAGCAGGATGGAAAGTCTGAGGCCAGTTTCAGCAACTTACTGAGACCCTGATGCAAAATAAAATAAAAAGGGTTGGGGTTGTAGCCCAGTGGTAGAGTACCCCTGAGTTCAATCCCCAGTACAAAAAAATAAAAAGGAAAAGAAAAAAGATGGTGTTAGGATGAACACTGTGGTGATGAATTGAAATTAGTAGTAAAAATATGAACTAAAGATTTTTGAAGAAAGGAAAAAGAAAACAAAGAAAAAGAGATGTATGTGTATGCATGCATTTATAGATTTAACATAGTTACAAATTTTGAACACTAAGAGGACTTAAAACTTTTTTCCATAGCAATGAGCAGGACAGATCTCCACCCAGATCTGGCTTCTAAATACCATTCTCCAATAATAGAGACCAGGGCTCTTTAAGAAATGGTTGATCCCAGAACTGGAGCAGGGAAAATATAAAATAATCCTGGAACTCCTTGTGGTGGCAGAAAATAGAGACATGCTTAATAAGGAATAGGGGATTGATTTTTTTTTTAAATTGGTACATTGCAATTACATATATCAGGAGGATTTATTGTGACATATTTGTAATGCATGCAGCATAACTTGGTCAATATGATAGGGACTTATTGAAAGGATACAGGAAACAATCTGAAAGAGTTCCCAACAGCCAAGTTAGAAGAGTTTGAGCAAATAAATAATGATAATATTTGATTATAAATCATAGAATTAAATATATAACCATAGCCTATATGAATAGGAAAAAAATAGGAAATGAAAGAATAGAGAAAGAGCAAGTTGTTTTCTTAAAGAGAATTACAGTTGATAAATAAAAAAGGATGAGGGAAATAAAAACAAAATAACATTTAGGAGACCATAATAATAATAATTGTTATGGGTAAGATCTGTGAATGGATGCCAAAATTTATGTGAGCAAAAGCAAATTTGTTTTTTTTTCCTCTACTACTGGGAATTTAACCCAGGGCCTCACCCATGACAGGCC